AAAACGAAAACAAAAAATGGCTGCTGCTAAGTGTATGTTCATGATATGATGTGAAGCTCACTATACAAGAAAAGAAATCAAGAATCAATCCATCATTGAAATGATTATAATTTATCCGGCATGGAAAGATAAACCGTGTTACAGGGAAGTTGCTAGTGAAAATTATAGTCACACCGTTGTTTATGCATGCGCATCCAGCTAATCATGCTTATTCACAAAGTAGTTTATACCTTTTTCCCCCGTGACCAATTTGGTTTCATTAACAACAAAATCATGGGATCCAATACCAACTAGATTGGTGCCACTAATCCTACGTGATGTTACTCATTTCGATATTAATAATTGTAAATAAATTAAAGAAATGCTATCTTAATTGTCCAATGAAACATTGGACCCACCATTTCGTTAGAAAATGAATTCGTGGATCCAGATTGGTGTCAAAAACTGCTAATGCTTTTAGTCGACATTACATGATAAGAATAATTAAATGAGTCTCATATTTTTTTTTTCATTTAATTTAATTTTAGTGAACTTATTTTACCAACTAAATTAGCACTAATGAGGCTAAGTTTTCTTATTCTTATAAATAAAAGCAACGTTATCTTCATTGTCCAATGAAGTAATGAACTCAGGGTCGAAGTTAGAAAATGATGTTAAGATATGTTGAAATTGAAAAAATTATGATTGAACTCATGCCGTAAGAGATCGAGTTTAGTAGGCTAAGCTCGTGATACTCACGAGAAAAAGTGTGTGATACTCAATAAAACAAAAGAAGTCTAGGTGTCCCACCATAAGATGTCTCTCTAGATCTTTGTATATTTTCTTACCAAATAGAATATAAATGCTTAAACTTAAAAATATAAACTAACAAAATCATGATAAGAATAAGAAAAGGATACATATCCACCAATGAAAAATTAAGAAATCATCTAATGAGTGTTGTTCTAAAAAAATTGATGATCAATCTTTTCAAACAATTGAAAGCTTTGGCCTAAACACGCAATAAAAAAACACATCACTATTTCACTATGCCCCCGTTTGACCCACATTTTTGTAAAAATGAGAATGAAAAATATAGTCATTATGGACCTCATACTAGAGATAAAAAGTCAAATATGGTGACTTGATGTGATGGATAACGATCATATTTTTCATTTTAATAAGGAAATGATGGAGTTCAAACACGGCCTATATGTTATTGTTCTCAAAATATTATTTGGTGTGGACATCAATCTTCTATACTACTCCATTACATAGTGAATGAGGAATCTCATCCAAAGTGAGAAAGATCAACTAAAAAAATATGAAGGTTCGAAGAAATTGAATTTAATTCATGCCCCATTATTTGTGAAGAATGTATTATGGAATAGTGAATAATGTTGAAATGTGTAGTTAAAAAAGACGATTTTTTTTATTTACGTGTAATATTATTTTAATGAACAATGCGTGGTTAAAAATGAGTAATGTAGAAAAAAATAATGTGGTATAATGGTAAACAAACAAAGCCTTATTATCAAATCAATTTATGAATACATAAACTTTAACAACTATTCCTTTTATCAACACAATCAAATCTAGAGCAAATTATTTATTTTGATCTTAACATCTATTTTATTGTCAAAATAAGTAATTTTTTTTCTTATAAGTATAAATAAGTAATATATGAAAATATTCGTGAAAACAAAGAGTTAATTATTTTGAGCTTAACAGAACTTGCAATGTCTCTTATTATTAAGATAAGCAATTTATTTTTAACTTTAATCAATATAAATATTTGTTATAAGTATATAATCATAAGTAATTTTAGTCAAACATACATTAAGTAAAATATCTAATTTGGCAACAAGGTATTCACATTACATGAATGTCATGAAAAGGATATTTGATAAGGAAAAAATACATTACTACAAAGGTTTCAAGATACACTTACAAAACAAAAAAAAAAAAAAAAAAACCTTGAAAAAGTTTCAAGAATCATGTTATCACATTTATGACCACCTAGTAACAATTTTGCGAGTTAATAATTAATTAAACAGGTTAATGTCATAATAACACACAATTTATTGTCCCTACGTACCAATTACAAATCGTACAAAGTCAATTTCACAAAGACACAACTTAGGGTAATTGGCACAAAACATCTTTAAAGAATGTCCCCTATCATTTCAATTTGATGGACAACTCCCCAATATGACATTTTCTTTGCGGAATATAACATTTTCTTAATATAAAACCTTGTGAAATGATAAATATACCCTCATCTTTAAACAAAACAAAAGAGGGAAAAAAAATAAAGAATTAATTGTAATTGTAGTTCCAAATTTTTCAAAAAGAAAAAAATAAATACAAACGAGTCCCAAATAAATAATTGAAGAATTAAATGGATGCATATGTTAGTTTTTATATGTTATTTAAAAAAATTAAATTAAATAAATAAAATTTTCACCATATTTTTCCTTTTATTTATAATAATATCGACGATAAATGACTACAATATCATCAATTATATTATCGATGATTATCAATGGTTCTTTAATAAAAGGAGAGAAGCTTGGGTCAGTAACATCAATGATTTTTTCATTGATCATTAGTAGTCAAAGAACTATTGATAATCGTTGATAACATAATTTATGATATTGTCGTCATCCATTTGATTTTACAGGTTATGCTAAATGTATATAACAATTCACTTAATGGTTTACCAACAGATGGTGTGACGGGATTTAATTGGATCAAAATCTCATCAATCAAATTTGTCATTATGTAAAATATTATACAAATAGTTATGTACAATAAACATTTTCCTTGATTTACATATATATATATATTATATATACTAATTACAATGAGTTCATTGAATATGAAATGAATATAGAAACTAACTTATACTTTGATTTAATTTTATTTATTTGGGACTCATTTACATGTTTTTGAAAATTTTGGGATTACTGTTACAATTAATTCTTTATTTTTTCCTCTTTATTTTTTGTTTTGTTTAAAGGGGGGTATATTCGTCATTTCACAAGGCTTTATTGAGAAAATGGAAGAAAAAGTTTGTATTCTGTAAAGAAAATATCATATAGGCGGATTTTTCATCAAAATGAAAGCATAGCGGGGCAATCCACAATAGATGAAAAGATCAAGGGTGTTTTGTGCTAATTACCCTCACAAATTATAAGTTACAATTATAAATTTAGATGCAATATTTATTAATCACAAATTATCCAATCACACAAATTATTAATCACATACGCTATTCATCCCACTTAACCACCCCACCACCATTGACATTACTCAAATATTGTTGCCACCTCACCACTACCCCCAAATCCGCTATCTTTTCCACTTCTGGCTTCACCACCACATCCACTTCCACCTTCGACCAACCACATATATATACATAACTAAAGATGCAGCGCCCCACCACCTACACCAACAAACCATTACATAGCCCAACAGAGAGACACTTGAAATTGCATATCGCACCATGCAGATCACACCACACAGATCACACCATAGAGATGCACATATCGCACCATCCTAATGGCTATTGATCACAAGCTATCGCTCTTTATTCACTCGTTGCTGCTCGAAGACATTCAACAATGTTGGAGATGACTCGCCACCACCACAACATCGACATATTTTAACGATGGGAACATATTTTGAAGGTGCGGTCGATAGTGGAGCTTCGATCGAAAGGCAAAACCTATCAGAGAGAACGGCCATAGACGATGCAAATGAGTGAATATGATCTTGTGAATCGATCCATCATACCAAATAAAGGCGATGGTGGACAGAATTTGTGGGTGGCGGGCGGAGAGGATGCAGGGGAATATTGGAGGAGAGAGGGAGTAGACGGTCACACTTATTTGGTACGCCCCACCTGATTTTAAAAGAATTTTAGTTTTATCTAATTATTGAAACGAAAACTTCACCCTTTTTTATTATCATTTTTATCAAAATATATTTTTCTCTCTCTTTTTTTTTTAACCAAAACATTCTTCATTAAAATAATATTACATGTAAATAAAAAACTTTTTCTTATTTTTCATTAACACATTTTCCATCAATTTACTATTCTAAATTTCATTTTTCCATAAAAATGGGTATCAAACATCTTGTTAAAAACTAGGTGGCCATGTAATTTTTCCATTTAATAATTGACAAAATTTGGATAATTGAACATTTGGCTTGGGTTGGGACTCAAGTAGAGCTGGGCTAACACAAATATTTGGACCAAAAAATAGATTTTACTTTTAAATTTTTATAAGTCGTGGATCTAGTACCAACTCGATCGATGACGAACACCATTAATCGAATGATATTAGCCCCTATTTGATATAAATTAAATTTAATTCAAAGTTCATAATTAATTTTAAACATATATTTTATTGGACCTATAACTTTTCAACAATACATTTCATCAACTTTTATAAAAATTTGCTAAAAGTTACCCCTCATGGGGTGGCCGAGTTAGTGAAGTAGGTGAGTGCGGAGGCCTTGGATCATGAGTTCAATTCCCCCTACCAACACTTTCTCGGTCAAACTTGTCAAACAGAGCTTGCCTAGTGCGATTTACCTAGCTGGCGTGATTTGCAGGCTATTGAATCAGCCCAAGGGTTTACCCAGTGTGCACATGTAGGGTATCGACTACAGGTTCCCTCGTTCCCTCGTCATTAAAAAAAAAAAATTGCTAAAAGTTTTTTTTAATTCATATCATGGGGGTGTTTGATAGTCATTTTTATGTAAAAATGTATTTTAGAATAGTAAATTGATGTGAAATGTGTGGTTGAAAAATAAGGAATTTTTTTTATTTACGTGTAATATTAATTTAATAAAAAATATGTGATTGAAAAGAAGAGAAAGAAAAATGCATTTTGAAAAAAAATGGCTATCAAATGGGGCCATATACATAAAGGCTTAGTCATTTGGATATTAACATTTATAAACAATATTAATATTATTCATCAACCGTAGTGATGATAACTATCAATTTAATTGAGAGTAATATCGTTATTCATTATACAATAAAGGAGTTACATTTTTGTAAGACATAGTAATAGCTAATTATGAATAATTACTCCGACAGCCCACACACCACCATAAAATATCAAATTCCCCACATTCACATTCACTTTCCAACCTCCACTCTCTATTTCTGTGTAAATCAAAGTCTTGCTCCAATTCCATTAACTAAATTCTTAACCATCTATCAGAATTCAGAAATGAGCAAAATTTGCATATCAAACTGTGTAAACGACGCAAGAATTCCTGTGAGGGCCACCTATGTCAACCTCTACAAGTGGCCTGAATCTGATGCCGAGTTTGTGAAGTCAGTGGGGGCCAACGACGTGCATGGCGGATCACGGTTGCGCTCCAGGGTGGTGGATAGCATCTCATGCAGGCAATTGTATCTCAGGAGCTATACATTTTCCAGAAAAGAGACAGTGCCGGAGAGGACCAAGAAGTGTTTCGGAAGGGTCAAAGAGAGGGTGTCTGGAAGAGGGAAGAAGCGAAAAGTCCGGCCACGGAGGCGAAGGCGGAATCGCCGCCGCCTGGTGGTGAGGAAAGTGAAGGAATTATCATGCGCTGCACTGTGCGCCATTTTCCGGAGGTTGCAATCTTGCACTGCTACTGTGGATGTTGTGGATCACAATGTTTAAAGTATGCTATATTTTTACTTTAATTTCTGGTACTTTACTGTTTTTCTACTTAATTTGTTATGGATTGATGTGGCTCTCTCATTAAATTTGTATGAAAAATTTCAATTTATATAATATTTCTTCAAGAAAAAAAAATGCTAGCCTTTCAATGGTCTAGGATAAAATATCATGTACTCGTTTCATGAACTTAATATCTCACATCGATAAGCTGAAGTTCGATTTTTTAGTTTATAATTGCTTGTGCATATATTTGTTTCACAAGTTTTTTTTAAGGTGGAGTTTTACTTGGTGTGTTATGTTTGCATCAATATAATAATATTTATTGTACTATTTAAGATTTAAAAGATCGATTTCGTGAAGTTACTTAGTGTCTCTTTGATAAAAGAATAATGCTACGTAGCCCTGTAAGGGTTACAATCTCAATTTAAACGACATTAAATGATAAGTTGAATAAAAAGTGAAATTTAATGATTTATTTAATTTCATCAATCAGTTAATGTAACCTCAGTGAAACCGAATAACATTACTCTTCATAAAATTTTTGTGGTCAAACTTTATTTTTTAACAAGAGCCACACTACACTAACAGGGGTTGTCACAGGGGCTGACACTTCAGCCCTTGTCATAGAGGCCTGTCAATAGTCCATGTCCGAGCAGAATAATTCTTTTAACAATACATTCATTGGCCAACAATATTTATCTACTTTTTCATCTCATTTATTGTCCCATCAATTTTTATGATGTTTGACAAAAAAGTTTTGATAAAAATTTAACAAATTTTGATGAAGTTTATGAAATATGTAAATGAAAAGTTTATAAAATTTTAACAAAGCTTTACTCAAACGTTGTTACACGGACACTTAATTGAGAACATAGCCGTAGTGGGCATTCATTCTAAAAAGTAGATGAAACGCAATGCATCTAATTTATCTAATGTTGTTTGGGTCTCATTTTTAAAATTTATTTTTTATTAGACTCATTTTCAATCAAAAATTTTACGAGACTCATTTTTTCAACCCATTTCATCAAATTTTGTTAAAATTTAATAAAAAATTGATTTTTAACAAAACTGAAAGAGGTTGACTTTGTGAAATTTCAAATAGCAATCAATGAAAGTAAGCAACAAATTGTCAAAGGAAAAAATGTTATTTATAACCCAAGTAAATATAGAACGGTCAATGAATTTATTAGTGCGGGCAACGGCAAGAAAATTGAGGGGAAGGTTACCGCAATTAAAGGAAAAGGACATAATCATTATAAACAATTTATGTTTGACTGACTAGGATGAATAGGTATTTAGGTCATCGGACGCCCCTCAGTTGTTCAACCAATGAAAATCAAGATATAAATATAAATGTCATCAAACTTTATTATATTTATTTCCACCATCTTTCTAAATTAATAAATAAATAAATAATAAAAAAGGTGTAGTGTTTCGAAACGTATTGTGAAAATTAAATTTTAAATCATAGTTACGTGCCTGATTGCACAAAATTTTAAGCGGAATTCGGGGATCAATTTGGTTCCCTAACGTGGGTTTGGGGAGGGAGTGATGTGCGACTCGAAATCTTTATGTGAAATGAAAGCTATCAATTTCGCGTCGAGTTGCTTTCAGTGTCATAATTTCGGATGAGAAAAAAAAAAATTTGTAATTTTTCTCAACCAGATTAAAAAGTAAAAATGTGGCCTTGATCGGTTAAAAGTGAAAAGTGAAGCCTCGACCTTCTATTCATAGGGCTCTTGGAAGGCAAGGATTTATTCTTCGAAGGTAAGAGAAATCTTGGAAGACAGGGATTATTCTTGGAAGGCAAGGTGCAACTTGGATTGGATTGCTTGGCACTTTGGCAAATCAGGTGGGGAGGACTCGGACCCTGGCTAGTTGGAGGCACATCCCGCGATTAACTGAACTGTGTGAAGAGGGGCCGGATCACAGACCCAAGGATTAGTCAAGAATTGGACACTTGTAAAAAAAAAAAAAAAAAAAAGGTCCGGCTCCCGACCTTCCACTTCATGGCAATTAGCAAGTAGTAAAAAGTTGATGAATTTCATCTATTTAGACTTTTAAGTAGTTATATCATACGTAACTTGTGCATGATCAATCCTTCAAACTCTTTTAATGTGAGTCGAGCAAATCCCACCAAAGACCTAAATAAACTAGTTCATTGTTGAAGACCTACATGCTACGAAAGAAAAAAAAGTTGTGACGTTTGAACTTACTATAAATAAACTGTTGAATTTCCACTACTTACATTTTAAACGAAGAACCCAACTATAATTTTTCCTTCTAAATTTGTTCTATGTTTATTTCGGAAGAGGATTGAACCATTTAGGTTAGAACAAGGTTACAAGTATAGAATTTTTTTTTTTACAGAAATCATACAAATCAACAATTGGTAGACTATAATTGGAAGATGATAAAAATACAAAAGAAAAGCAGCGACAATACCTGTACAGATTCTGTTCCTTTTTTTTCCTTTTGTACTTGTAGAATTATTCTTTAGGTTATATTCGTGAACCGGCACTAGATTAGGGGTAGACTATATATCCAATACAATTCAGGCAAGTATCGTAGGGCATCGATTTGGCTTTCAGGTTGGCTTAAATCCAACCCTGGCCGCCCCCCTTCCCCTTCCCCTTGTTTTTTGGGGAAAAAAATGGTTTCAAGGGTAAAATACCCATGAATCCAATAAATTGAACCGACGACAAATCAACTTTTGGCTGGGATTTTACCTAACTCGGACCGTCGGTTCAGTGGTTGGGTTACCCACCCCCCAAGCTAGAATGTTCATCTAGCTCACTCCTCATCTAACTAATTGGTCGATCATGCCTCAATTTTGGGAAAATTACATAATTCCAGGTGTCTAAAAATCACAATTCAAAAATTAGGGTTCAAGTTTCACTTTTCATATATCAGGTATCAATATAATAATTAAATATTAAATATCCTCCCAAATTATTCCAAGCCCTAATCAATTTTTTCCGTACCATTTCTCTCTCTACCCTTTCTTCTCTCTTAGTCTTTCCCATTACTCCATCACAATCGTTGTCGAAATTCCATGCTGGTAGGGTTCACGACGTCGCAGTGTAGTGGCAATGCTCTGAAGATCGGCACCGGTTCAGATGCGAGACCTGCGTCGCTGAAAGAAGATCGACGTCACTGCAAGAGCGCGATGGAGATGCTATTTTTTGCCCAGGAATGCTACTACTATGTGACTTCTTCCCAAGAACACCGTCTGCAAGTGGCGCTGCTGCACTTTTGCACATCACCAAAACCACACAACCGCCTATTGGGAATTACCCCACACACTTCTATTGCGCGACTTTTGACAAGACACCCTGCTTGGGATCACAGATAATATTATCACCTTTGTGTGGTTTTGGTGATGTTGTGGGGTGATGGCGTGGTGGATCTAGGCAAAACAGCGATAGTGGTGATAGTGGTGATGGTAGTGATGATGCTTGCGTTGGCAGTGGTGATTGTGATTGTGGTGTAAAGAAGATGAAGGGCTGGTGGTAGTGGCATGGTTGAATTGTTGGTGGTGTAGGTACTAGCGGCGATGTTGCTACTGTGATGATAAGTTGGTGCTTGATTTCAATGGTGCTGGTAGTGTTTGTGACCAATTATATACGTTGTTCAGTTGGTGTTGTCGTGGTGGCGATTTTGGTGGTGTGTGTTGGTTTGTTTTTGCGGGGGGTGGTGGTGGTGATGGTATTGTGGTTGGGGTAGCGTATGTGACCAAGTATTATGGTGAATCGAGATCTGGAGTTTGGCGTTTGTGACCAACTATTTGGTCCACTGTGACTATATTAATCCGTGACTTTAAAATTCAATCATTTTGTGACTAAAAAAAGTAATCTATGACCAACAAATTTAAAAATATGTGACATATAATTTTTTGAATTTGTGACCATTTGTAACCTATAATTTTTTGATCTGTGACCTCAAAATAATCTGTAACGTATCAAAATTTTGATCTGTGACCTCGAAAAAAATCTGTAACCCATTAATTTGTTGATATGTGACCAGTAAATAAATCTGTGACTTATAATTGTGAATCTATGACCATTAATTGTATAACTGTGACTTTATCATCATTATTTAATAAATATTTTTAATTAATTAGTTAAAGCCTGATTTTTGCATTAATGAAACTTATAACCTGAATTTTGAATTATACATAGTTAAAACCTGATTTGTGAACTCTTTCCCTCAATTTTCACTCAAATTGATGGGCAAAGATTAGCCATGGACTTGCGAGTTTGGACGTTTACACTAAATTGACAATAGTAGCACTAAAAGCAATACCTAACAATTTTTCTTTACCTGAAATAAATTTTCAGTTAGTACCACCACCTTTTGCAACTCCAGCCTGTAACACATTTTTATCCTTCTAATAACTAGTAATATCTGCCATTTCTCTCTCTCAGTAGGAAGAAACTTTATTTCTATTTACAACAAGTCAACTTCGTCATAAACATCTGGCTATTCATTAATTATTGAACAAGCAAAAAATGCTTAATGAAAAAGCGATGCACTATAGCAATAAAGACAATAATCCATAATTTTCCAATCATGGTACTTGATTTCAATTAGAAAGATTATTTTGTTGATGATCTTGACAATACATATACGACAGAGACATTTTATGCAAGAATTTTTAGCATTACTAAACCACTAATCTGCTACAGAAACAGCATCTGAATATGGCTCCACCATCCAAATGAAAAGGACAACAATACATTTTTCACAAATAACCATGACACAAGAAAAAGAGCAGATGCATATGCTTATAAACATTTCAACAATAAGACTGAACCTCACAGGATCACTTGAGAGAATCATAAAGAAATAAAAACTCTCCCTCTCCTTCAATATGACTTATAATATGGACTAACTTCTTAACATGGTTCATTTCAATATATCTATTCTGAATCTCATTGAATCACTTTATCATTGAAATTTTTCTTAATTACAAATATCCTATTTCCCAAGTCACAACGGGATTTAGCCATTCGCAGGAGAGATGAATCATGCTTCATACTTTGATACCACATGGTAGGTTTCTAAATACGGAAAATTGCAAAATCCGAGAATCATTAGGTTTTACAATATCATACACTCATGGGAATTTTCATGCTTCATACCTTGTTTCCATGTCAACATAAATATAAGCAGACTGCAAAATTTTACCACTACCCAACTCTTATTTCTTTATTTATTTTTGAGAAGATCCGTGTATCACAGGCTTTTCATTTATTTCCTTGTTCATGTCATGCACTCAGGTGTGAGGCCTGACTAGTTAAGCCCTTGTTTGAGCACCATTCTTTTGAAAAATTGCATTTTTCAACGGTGTTTTGACATCATTTCTATCACACATTCTTCAATAAAATAATATTACACGTAAATTCAAAAATTTTCTTTATTTTTTAACCACACATTTTCCATCAATACACTATTCAAAAATTCATTCTTTCCTCAAAAATGGGGCTCAAACAAGGGCTAAGTCAACTTGACTCCGTATTCCTTAATCCCATTCATTGCATAACAAAACCAGTTGCCATCAATGAATTTCATAACTGCTTAGGGAGAACATGAATAATGGGAATAATAAGGGATTAAGTGATTATTCTTTAAAAAAATCAGTTGCGTGGATGCTGCTCCTTATTATAAAAGAGCCTCCAACAAATATCTTGTGAAAATACAGCTTTCTACGAGTAACACCCAAAGTAGATGTCTTTTACAAAATATCTTTTACTAAATTTACACAGGCTCAATATTCCTAGAATACAACAAGATGAAGCAAAGCCATCAAAAAGTTTTTAAAAAACACAAGCCCAAAATGATTTTTTTCACCAACTCGTCATAGAATAACCTAAAAATTTATTTCAAGTAATAGTTTGGGAAGAAGATATTTTCACCATACAAGCCATACAGCAAATTGTGCAGTTAGAAGTATGTCTAAGACTAAAGCCAAAGAATTCTTGCTGCATCATTTACTTGTTGTAACTTGTAAATCATAAGTCACAACTATTGGTTCAAATGCGGATAGAACCTAACACAATAGAATGCCGTGAATATGAAACCACATCATCTGGAATAACAAAGAAACAAACAATTTGAATTGAATTCTAAAACTCAAGCACTTGGGCATGCAGATGTTCAAGATTTCACAAGCATTGGAATTCCTACTGGAGAAAGGCATATAACGACCCTACAACCTGCTGCAGATAATTCATAATTTTCGATTTGGAATCATTCCATTCGTGAACTATTAATCGATCAAACAATGAGCAAGTTACTCTGCAAACAACAAGAGGGATTAATTATCCAAATGAATTAACAAAAATTGCCATTTTAAAATTAATGAATGCATTCAACAAACAGATTCAGCAGAGAGCAACAGCATTCATAAGCAAGTAATTAGGAATGCATATAATAACAAATGGAGTCGAGTAAAAACAGGGGCAGTCTGGCAGAGGCAAAATGTTGGAACATTTCCGTTTTTCAAAAGTAATGGTTATTGGAGGATAAAAGCCAGAGATCTTCTAATAGAATCAAAGGGAAGAAGAAGCAACAAAACGAGGCAGCGAATCAGAACTTTTTCAGCAATTACATGTATAATTCACTAAAAGTCAGAAGTTTGTAAATCGTAAATGTGAACCACCATAAATACACAAAGGAGATTCAACTAAAACAAAGGGAGCACCAAATGGATCTCTGATTTCATAGCTCGAAATCTTCATCCTGAAGAGCTAGCTCAGCTGCCTCTTCTTCATCATCATCAAGCACAAAGTACTCGTTCTTTTCAACAGGCCTAAACATGTAAAAGATCACAGCATAAAATGCAAGACTCGCAATTTCCTCCGTTGCATTTGCAACCCACTGGTACTTGTAGGCTGAGATGGTCCTCAGCGCAAACACTACAATCCTCGTGAAGTACAAGTACCCAATAACCACGATGTAGAACTGCCTAAATAGGGTCAATTTTGCCAGGTTTTTTGCAGCCTTGCCGTCAGTCTTTGAGGTCTCCCTCAGCGACCTAATAGACCACACTATCGGGAAAATAATTGCGCAGCAACAGATAATATCCACCAACAGGAAAACCTGATTCCAAGTCACCCAATCCTTGATAAATGGCCCGGTCTCCCCAATCACAATGGACGCAACATTTGCCAATACCTGCAACGGGATCACAATCATTAACACCTTCTTCTCCTTCTCCTGCAAGAAGGGCTTCAAGAAGGACCACCCAGTACCGATCAACACAATCACCGAGAACAACAACACCACCCTAATAAACTGGAAAATGTAAAACAGCACATCCCATCCATGAGGAGTGCCCGTAATCTTCACATAATGCTTATCCTCTGCTGCGCTGAGTAAATTCAATGCCTTCATAATCACCAGAAGCCCCATGACGGCATGTATCCGATGCACGGACTTCTTATTCCTTAAACAAACGTGGACCCATATCGCCAAAAATGCGAAATAGAGAACGGAAAAGAAGAAATACAGACCGGGTAAAAGAGTGAGGCCAGCAGAGAGATAATCCTTGACGTGGCCGCGGCCATCGAGGTTGTAGAGTTCAGTATGGACGTCCATAGAAACAGTTGATTCCGGGGCACAATTTGCGAAGAAAAGAGAGTATTCATTTGGAGAAGTAATGGGGTACGAATGGTTGAATGATGAGTGGGGTGGCGGGGAGAGGTCCCGGAAGGTGAATAGCAGGTGAATGTACTTTGAATCGAGTACGCAAAATGAAGGGTTTTGACGAAGCTCGACGAGGACCTGAATTAGGGATTCCTCAGCGAGGAGGAAGAACCCTAGGCGAGATGGATCAGGGGAGGCGAGGGAAGAGATAACTGACACGGAGGAGACTGATATGGTGACCTGGCCAGTGTGGGTGAAGCCGAACCGCTCGAAGAGGATCATGGACCGGGAGTCGGAATTGATCTTGAGGGACTTGATCTCGGCGGCGATGGGGCGGAGTATGGTGAAAAAGAGGAGAATTGGGAGGAGGAAATGTAGTAACTTAGTCATTTTTCATGAAATTGCGGTGGCCAACGGTAGTGCTGTGCGGCGGCGCGGGAGGTGGATATGAAAGCAGGATCACGCCGAAGATAATCGGCGACGGTGGTATATTTTTAATACCGAAATTGCCCTTCTATTTTTGGGAATGGAGTAGATCTGGCCAGGGTTTATATTTTGATTTTCAGATCTAGAAAGGCTTGAAAATTACGTGACCGCTCACCAAAATAAGAAGGGGAATTAGCGTAAATGGGCACTAATCTATTGGATTTCTGTGAAAATGGTTCCTAACCTTTTAATATTAGCGGACGCCTCCCAAACATTTCACTTGATGAGCGTAATTGCTCCCATCCAATTAATCGTTAAAATTGTCAAAAGGTTTTAAATAAAGACTAAAATTTTAAATACCCTTACTTTAGTTAAATTAATAAAAACTATAAAAAAAAATAAGAATAAAGAAAAGTCAATTCATCTTATCAATCAAATTCAGAAGGTGTTTGGTAGAGATTAAAATTAGATTTTTAGTAGATTGTGATAAACAATTTTAAAATGTATAGTTGAAAAGTTGTGTGACTCATTAAAAATGTGGTTAATATTTATTGTTTGACTTTAACTTATGCTAAAATCAAATTTAATCTGTACCAAACGAGCTTTCATAAACCTTCCATGCAATTGTGAATTGCTTAAAAAATTATTATATAAACAAAATAGAACTTGTTTAAAAATTAATCTTCAATGCAAGTTAATATGGACTCCGCGAAGATGATACGATAGAGAAAAAATAAATATTTTTATAGTTTTGTCTAAATTTAATTTTTTGTTAAATATGCAAACTTTGTAAAATTTTATATCTCATACGCTAATTTACTTTTATTATTATTTTAAAACTAAAAATATCACGATAACAATTTATAGATGCAACGGAAATCAAATTTAAACTTGACTACTTATTAGACATAAATGTCATGTAGATTGAAAGTCTTTCAATATCTTTTATTTGACAAAGTCCTTATTAATGAGAATTTTATTATACTTTCTAGTTTGTTTACATGACACAAATTGAAAAGTATGGAATTGCATTGGAGATGCACCTATGATTGGTAAGATAAGTTGCCTTTTCTTATTTTTTGTGTTTTTAAATGTTAAATTTATTTTATTGTATTATTTTATTTATTTAAACTATGGTACCGTTTGATAGGCACCAATTTTCTAGGGAAAAATGGAATTAGAATGCCAATTTTCAACTTTTGTGTGTTTGATAGTGTTTTATTTTCTATAAAAATTAAATTCTTGGATTTCTTAGGAGTTGTAATTTTCTAGCTTTGTGGGAAAATCAATTTTCCCGGTTACCGCTGATTGATTGATTTTTTTTTTTTTTGGTTGTAACGGAAATATATTTTAAGAATTATTGTAAAAAAAATATTTTTCTTTAATTGACAATTTTCATATAAAACAAAGTCAACGAACACCAAAATATAGATGATTTTTTTTACAATGGAAATAAATTTCATTCTTAATACCAGTAAATTTCATCCCTTTAATTTACAATTTTCATGTAAATAAAACCAAACGAACACAAAAAAAATACTTTTATTTTAACATTTTTCATGTTAACAATTATACCAATCAAACACAATAATTTACAGTTCTCGAGAAAATAATTTCTAGACAATTCAATTCCTTAAAATTTGTTTTATTTTCACCCAAATTCTATCTTTACAATCAAACAGACCTTAAAATTAATGTCATTTAATTT